TTGCCCTCCCCCCCTCTCCTCCCAACTGAAGACATGTACCCAAATACCTAGCTGCGGCAGAGTTGACGCTGTTCTGGAGAGAGTTAAAATTGTACAATCATGTGCAATTACTAAGGCAAGTGATTTGGCTAAAAAAAAGCTGGAAATGGGAAGTACGGAAATTCTTGACACTGTCAAGTAGGGTTACGAGCAGGGATGTCTAGCAGTCGGGTTTCAAACGTTTCAGGTTTTTGAATTGAGTTGACTTCGCAAGTTGAGAAACTACTCGGGGGTGGAGTTCTTTCAAGTACGACTTTTATAAATACCTGACACATATGCGAAATGGTGACTTGACCCCCTTATCGTATTCCAAATAGTGTGAAAAATATGGGCTACCGTGACTGTCCGTAGATAATTCTAAACAAAAATCAGTCATCACTAAAGTTTAACACCACGCACCCCTCTTAAAATGAGACCTGCTGTAGACCCCTAATGGTGTTGGTGTGGAGCCCGCATGCGCTCACTAGTGACACTGTCATTGGCCTTGTTGAAACAAGGAATAATTTTGAAGAAATTACGACTCAGGGGACTGTACACACACACCACCACTCCCCTGTGGTGAAATTTAACCCTCCAGGAATAAACAAACGATCACGTTGTGGTACGGCAATTGTGGTGTTTATGGGTAAGGATTTCATAGAAATTACGCTCAGGGGACTGTACACACACCCCACCACGCCCCTGTGGTGAAATTTAACCCTCCAGGAATAAACAAACGATCACGTTGTGGTACGGCAATTGTGGTGTTTATGGGTAAGGATTTCATTTTTCCGACAAATTGCACTCAACAGAATGGGAGATCACTGGTGCACAGGAATGAACCGACTCAAGAAAGGCAACCTCATTGAAACTCAGCAGAAAGCGAGTCTTAAGCACTCTTCTAACTTCAGCTACATGATGAGCACCAATGAGAGTGAAACCGGTCGCGAACTGTCGAGGAATTTTCAACAACCTTGTGAGTAGTGGTCTATAGAAAGGTCGCCTATCCTTATCGGCTGGTCCTACAACAACCAATTCCCATACATGGTAGCTCGCCCCTTCTCCTTGTTATTCGGTCGATTTGCTCCACTACCCATAACACCTTAGACAATCGTCAGTTATGGAACATTCTTGTCATATATAGCCATTCTTCGTGGTCTTCAGACCCGATGATCGGTGTTGCTACGTGCTGCGTCACATATAAGGGACAATTAATGCGACTGCGATTTTGGGGGACGGTGTTCGCATGGATCATGGCGTCCAGCATGTACCTTCCGGACTTCCATCCATCAAAACCATTCTGAAATGGGATCTACTAGAAATAAATCGTCATGTCTGTTGGGTCTATTGGCCCTCTTGTATCAAACTCACGAATACTCTACTTCTCCGCTGGGTAAACGAAAATGATGAGAGACCAGGCAAGACTCGAGAACCCATTACCGTTGGTGGTTTGTGTTCTACACCTGCTTTAAGGGCAGATCCTCTAAAGCTACCTACATTGCCTCCAGCGTTAATAATAAGGGTAAACTGACTTCTCAAACCAGTGAAATGGCTAAAGATCCGACGCTCTGTGGAGAAGTACCATCCTACGTAACTTAGAGTACATAGCCAGGTGCCACGCCAAGCAGGGGTAGTTCTGCATCGCACAATCCGCTCGTACCCTATGACAAAGAAGGATCTGTGAGTGCTTATCGGTTATGTGGAATGGAGTTGACCAGTGCTGACCGTCCACTAATCCACCGGCTCGCCCTCTGGTCTCTGTATCGTCTCAAAGCAACAAGGTATAGATGGACCAAAAGTGATTATGATCGCAACAGCCATCACTCCCACATATGCCCTAATTCTGTACTAAATAGGCGTAGAGGAACTTCAACTGAATCAACTAGTTCGTACACGCTGCTGAATTGCCGTCCCTTGATGAGCTTCGAGCAGAGTTAAGCGGCCGGCAATCTGTCAATTTATCTATACTATTTATAAAGAGCAAGTAGGTTCATTTGTTTTGGTATGGTGAAATTTCTAAAACAAGGTCGCCGAAGTTCAGAAATGACGAAATGATGGAGCGAACATCCGCTGATGCAGTCGTGCATGGTAAGGAATACCAAATCCCTTCCGAAAGATTATCCCACGTAATAGGGCTTGGTCGGTCGAGAAGAGAATCACTGTGCTTGCATAAGTCAGCTTTCCTTTTTTCGAAACAACAGTGGTTGCGTACAAAGCGCCTTTAAAGGGTGAATTTTCACCCAGGAAAAAGCGCTAAATCTATTTCGAAATGTGACCAGTATGTGATTGTCTAGGATTTTAGAAGCGGCATTTCTTAGCTCCGCCAGACAAGATAGCCTTCTTGAATTAACAAGAATAGCTGAACAGACGTCAGCTTACAAATTTCAACATGCCCCTAAAAGACGCTTTGTTGCGTTGGCGAACTGTTACCGAGGGGTGGAACAAGGAAACCCTGTTATTATCCACAAAAAGATATTCAGGGGTTATACCAGTGTATAGCATTACAATTTTCATCTAAGAACTGTTCTATTTCAGGTTTGCTACCCATTTTTAATTTGCCCCCTCTCAAAAGAGACCATTCATCACAAGGTTTCTATGTGACGATCCATTCGTGTGGCATCCCAAAAGGGGGACAACCGTTGTATTAAGACAGCAATATTGAGGGACAACACTACAACTTTCGCAATTCAGATGTTGTTTACTGAACATAACTTTTTAGTTTGACGTGGTTCGGTTTATGGCATACATGCAGTTGAAGGCCTGCACCATACACGAAACGGGCGGGGAAAATCAAACGTGTATGCAGATGGAGATAGAGAAAAGCCGGCAATTTTGTGTAGGGCCTGTGGATGCAAACGGTCCAAACAACCGCGCCACTCAAACCCCTCTAAGGTCGCATAAGCTGCATAGTCACACTCGGCAAATCCATTTATATGGCGCTGGTGATTCAATTCGTACCTCTACCGGTCGAAGTGCTTCACTTCTTTAGGACCGAAATCTTCGGCAAATGGTTCGGTTTGTTGCTGTGACCCACAATGTAATGGCTGCGTCTAAAGGAAACGGTTCGGACACCAAGCCACGACTAAAAAGACATCAATCTTGCTACTTGAATTTCAGACCTTTTGATCTCCGACAGTTTTGACACATACGTTTCCAAACTCTAAGTGGCTTGGATTAATGCGATCTAGTGCCGAACGGAAGATGCTCAAATCAACTCCCTATTGGTATCGAGATGGCGTTGTAAAGTCGTAATGCAACTGTTTCAATCGTCCACGGTTAGTGCGATCCAGCGGGCTGAAATACGGTCGGGTGGACATTGTAAATGAGTGTCTTCGCTTCTGTAACCGAATTATCACCGTCGACCACAAGCAATGCTAGAAATGAGATGCTCAAATCAACTCTCTATTGGCATCGAGATGGGGTTGTAAAGTCGTAATGCAACCGTTTCAATCGTCCACGGTTCGTGCGATCAAGCGGGCTGAAATACGGTCGGATGGACATTGTAAATGAGTGTCTGCGCTTCTGTAACCGAACTGTCACCGTCGACCACAAGCAATGCTAGAAATTAAAGAAATTATGGAAGACATTATTCATAGCCATCAATTCCTCATACAAACTTTTTTTTGAGACGGATAAACCACCTCCAACCCCGACCAAACATAGCGCGTGATTAGGAAACCGCGTCCTACGCATGTAAACGAACGGACGGTGCATGGCATGAACACGGCATCCTCACATTCGAAGCACCGCTGCTTTCTGCTCATTGCTCTGCGAACAACCGGGGTTAAGTGAAAGTCAACTACTATATTCAGTCTTATTTACCCGAACTCCCAGATAAACAACTAAACACTGGTAGTTTTTTCAAACTTCTCCGAAACGACAGTCACCAAATTCTTTTGCCCAAAACCTCACGAGTAACAGCCCTTCGAAATTCGCTCTATTCAAGACCACAACAAACCCTCGCTTTGAGCAGAATGCTTTCGCAGTCCCCAACTCATTACCAGCTGAGTACTTATTTGTTTTTTTTTTGCATCTGAGTCCGCAATAATCCTCTCACTGGAAGATACATTTAGGGGAACCAAAATGTCCTAGTGACGAGGGCGATTGAAATGAACCGTATCTCTTCAGCTTTGCAAGCGTCTAGAGAAGACAACAAATTGGTTGGAAACACTCAACATATTTCTGAGGTATGACGGACTCGCAAATTGGATCAAATTGAGCACCATAAGCCTGATGTCTGCTAAAGTCGGTAGCGAACAGATAAACGCAATAAGTCCGTAGCTCCCAACACTCCAATAAGTTTCCAGTCAACAAGCGACTTAAAAACCAAATGGGAAAAAATACTTCTAACATTTACACTAAATTAATAAAGAAAACAATTACAATAAAAATTAAGTTCTACGGATATAATTGTGATCTGCATTACAAACGTGCAGCACAGTCCAGGAAGTGCGGATTTCCATTCAGCACCCGGATATTCAGACCCGGATATGGTCTAGCACCTACGCCAGTCTCTGCATCTGAGCATTCTTAACGCTCCACTTCAAGGTCGACTGGGCTGTTTATAACACCAGCGATTTAAACTTGAAATCAAGCCTTAGGGAAAGCCAACGTTCCGCAAACTATATGATGATTCCTGCATGGAAGACTGTTGAATCAGGTCGATTGATTCCCTTCGTGAGATGTGACTTTGTGGACGGTTAAGTATGCCTGTTCCTTTTTGGCAATGATAAAAATGGGTGACCTTATTGCTTGTCTTCAGGACCTGGGGCTCACTTTGTTCACTTTTCTGGTTCTTTCACTTTGAAGATAACCTCCGTCGTTAGGAAGAAATGAGATAGCCACTTCAACGTCGAAATTTTCCTCCGTATTGATGAGAACATGTGCCTCCTCAACCAACTGACTCCCAATTAACTGAGTTTTGAATCTTTCTATTCAGCTATTGCAAGATGTATGAACCCCCGTGATAAAAACAATCCAAAACTGTGTAAATGTTTTACCTTCTCTAAAAAGCTGTACAGATTCAACAGGAGAGAAAATCGATCAGCTCCTGTAGGTTCACTGCATTATGGGATATCTGCGAACCGACGTTGTACGGTGGTCACTGAAAAATAAACCAAAACGTTACCGTTTTGTAACAAATCAAGTTGTTTGCACGAATCTTTGCAAGATGATGATGGTTTAGGAAAGTGCCGGCTGATTACTCTAGTGTGTATCATGTTAACGATACATCAACTAAGGTGCCGAAAATACGCTAAGCACGAGGCCCGAGGTCGATGGATTGTACCAGTAAGCGTGCCGTGTCATAAAACGCACTTCTCTTGCCCAGCAGAGTGGATGATGAGTCAGAAATCAGGGCAAAATAGAAACAGTCAACGCATGGTGCACAAAAACCGGTCCCGCAGTTAATGGATCAGACTTGAGATCGTCGGTAGATCAATCAAAAGCGTGTATGGTGTTAAGATGGTCTGAGAATAGTTTACACTGTTGACTTGTCAGGACTCCAACGGCCTTGCTGTATCTAGGTGTTTTAGAAGCTCTTAACACAATGCTGTACTCAAACCTTGTTGGATCCTTAGTCACTTAGATAGCTTTCATTAACCGATTGCACAGACCGCATAACTGCAGATCGCACAACTGCATGTAGCATGAAAGGGAACAGGAATGTTGAAGACTGATGGTTCACTGGTATATAGTGATAATGATTGATAACAAGAAAACAACTTTGTCAACAAAGGTAAGTAATCAAAATATTCCGAGAAGCCTGTACTTCAAACACTCCTGAAACAAGATTGAAGACTTGGGAGCAATACCAAGAATAAATCGGTCAACAAGCACATTTTACGAGATGCCAATTCAAACACGGGAGCCTAGATCTCAAACTTAGGTCCTGAGTGAGTCAATGACAGACGTTTGGGCATGGCTTATCTCAAACAAACTTCCATGTCACTAATATTTTTGACCTATTGGTATAAAACCTCAGCAGCAACTGCGAGGTTGCATCAAAGTTTGCAAAGGACCGGCTAATATGTAAGGTAAGTGCAGGTGGCAAAGTGGATCCAAAAATTATAAAATGATATTCCAGTTTCGGGAACCACGTCATACTGCAGAAAAAGCAGACAGAGGAAGCACATAGGTTCGCACTGTTTAATTCAGATCATCCCTCCGAAAAATAACCTCGAAACCCCAGCAAGGACAGCATGATTATACCAAGACAAGACGAAGAGTGCGAAGGCCGTAGAAAACGCCGTCTTACTGTAGTAATTAGCCGCTGCGCAATCATACACACCTAGCACTAGGCTTTGACAGCTATAAAGCTGTCCGCGGTCACGTCGCGGTACACAGTTCACAGCATCTGCGAAACCTACAGTGAACCGACTGCATGTTGAATTAAGGTAACTCAACCATGAAACTATAATTTATCAAACAGTAACAAATAGACATCGTGTTTCAGCCTTAGAAGCGGACGCTAGACAGCACAAATCAGAAAACACACAAATCACCGAATCAACTGCTGATTCGCTCCAGTAAGGTGTATTCCGAAGAGCTGTGAATGTTCCGCTTTACCGCTGACTAAAAATCGAAGCATTCACTTTCCTCTTCAGTGTGATGTTGTACAGCTGGTTCGAGATCGTCGTTTTCGCTCAAGTCACGTATCTTCGCTGGTAAGCACTGGCTTTAATATGTCACTTCGTGTATAGGCATGTGACAATTTTAAGAATTCCACACTAAATTAAGGACTTCGACTACAGAAAGCATTTTAAGGAGTGGTGCCCATGTTTCGTGGATGTTCATCGTCCACGTGGGGTTCTGGAACGAAGATCCCGAGAACTGTAAAGGCTATCAGGGTATGAGGAGAAGCGTGACCCTATGGCGGGGTTAATGTACATTGAAATACATTGAAGTACATTGAAATACAGCATCTTCAAAAAATACCAAAAGTGAGGAACATCCCGATGAACCTTGTATCTACAGCTTTCTTAGTTATATTCAAATGGACGGTTACTTATAACGATTGCACTGGAAGTATGTGACCCGTCATGTATAAGTATGATACTACTAAGGTAACAAGCAGTCCAAAATTTTGTGCGGCTTTGCAAATATCAAATTACCTCTGATGCAAAAAGCGATGTCCTTGAGATCAGTGCGTTTAAAACAACTAAGTATAGAGAATCTCAGAAAACTATCTACTTGGTAAAAACTGCGGGGAGAGTCACATTATAACAGTGCACAAGAAAAACGTGAGGCATCCACCACGCAGCTTACAGCTGGAGCCCACTGTGGCCACAGGGATTGCTCGTAAAGGAGAAGATGATTCCAACTGCGCCACATTTTGAACTGTCTGTATTCGAATCATTGAAGTTGCAATCCCAGCAGGAGCAATGACTCGAACAGTTGAAGGTGCTCCCATGGTGGTACCAGATGCTGATAGCCGATAGAGGCTCTGTGGAGTTGAGGTTGCTGTAACCAGTGGAACGCCGGTCGTAGGCTCTCGCGTACCAACAGAATCACACGTCACTCTCTACGCAAAAAATAGGAACGGATAGGGGCAAAAAACTGTGATGTTGTTCCCAGTAGAAACGGACAGAAACAAGTAGTTGAAGTCTGAAAGTCCAGTTCACTACATAGGAAGAGGGGTTTGTGATGAACCTAAACGAGAAACAATAAAAACACTTAATGTGCCACGTTAATGGAAGAATCTGAGACTCATTAAACAAATTTAAAATGGAGTCACATCCTAGTGTAATGTAACAGCATAATTCCTAACATGGGAGACACGTTCACTGCAAATAACACTTTGTAATGTACCACTCAAAAGGTTGCCGAAAATCCGTCGATAGCCCACGACCGGTATCGACCTTTTTGGGGCTCAACAGGTACGCGCAGTCCACGGGTTTCCGTCAACCTTATGTTCTACTTGAAACCAAATTGCACGCAATTAGCGAATATACACTCATTTGCAAACTAATTTGGTTTTTCGAGAGACTCACCTGGAACCCAGCTGAATCTCTCGTTTGTGACGTTCTCATTAACACTTAGTTTCAAATCAAGTGGAGGTTGATGGCAGTTCAATTGAATCTATCGCTTGTGATTTTCACAGAGGCCACTTCGTGCTTCAGCTGGGGCGGTATTCCATATACTCAAGTAAATTTCCTTGGGGGAACACATTGGTCAAAAAATTTGTTGAAAATGCCTCGGTAGCCCAAGGGGGTCCAGCTGTAGCAACCTTTCGGCGCCTAGCTGCCAGGCCACCAGAAGGAAGCACGATGGCTGAGACACTGCAGGGTTGCCTAGAGCAGGGGAAGTCAAGAGGCAAAGGTCGAGCTCGAATCACGGACCTTCCGGTCAGTAAATTTGTGCTATAACCGCTGAGCCATCTGCCCCTTCCCCATCAGGTGGGCGCAGTTCCAAAGTTGCCGTCACAGTTCCGTTCCCCTCGAAAACCACTCTCCGCAACTGGCGAAATACATTTATTTTCAAGCCAAGTTAACAGGCGAATCAACCGAACCCCGGCTGAATCTCACATCTATGGTAGTCTACTAAATGAAACATGAGGCGGATTTGTGTGGCACACTCAGCTGAAAAATATTATAAAGGAGATATTCAGTTGATTCTCCCATTAGCACCCATGTATTTTGCAAACGAGCACAATTTATTCTCCAAGCAGGATGTAAGGTTGACAGAAACCTGGGGGCCAAAAAAAGCGAAACTGGTAGTAGGCTGTCCACATTTCTTCCAACCACTTCATACCTATGAATCACGGTTCACGGTATTAAACGGCAACATCCATAAAAAAATTGAACAAGGAAACGCAAGTGGCTAGTGAACACCACTGGTCATTGACTTTATTGTAAATAGTGTGACAGTCAAGAGTAGACCTGTGGGAGGGACAAAGAGGGTATCAGAATGTTCTGTGATATGCTTCCTTGACCAAGTAGGAGGGTATGTTCAAACAACAGAACCCTGAGGAACAAAATCTTCAAAGTAGAAAGCCCAATGAGCCGGGCCTGATTCTCCTATAAAGCGAGATGCAAGGTGCATCCTAGAACCCGTAGTAGTGGTTTCGCCAACCATTACTTCAATCTTGCGACTTAGTAAGCTCCTGGTGAAAACAATGAGGATCAGGAAGAAGCACACATTTGATAAAGAACATTTTCAATCAGTTGGTATCATCCATACAACCTAAGTTCAGCACGTTTTGTGACCCTTCACAAATCACGTTAAATGGATTGACCAGATACACTCAAACAACACAAGGATTGGATAAAGGGATTAAATGCACAACGGTAAACAACCGATACGTTCCCATTCACTTGATATGTAAATCACATCCCACGGCCACGCCAACAGGGTACGAGGAGTGCCCATATAGTACCTTATTTTACCTTACGTTCTTTATGCAGCGTTGGTAATTATGCTGGCAAGCCTTCAACGATAACACAGGCCAACTTGACGCACTTTATCGGGTTTATTATATCTCAGTAAAGTCAACATATAATAGTCTAAGCTAAACTTTCGACAACAAACATGCGATAAAATTCCGAAAACCTGAGCAACATTAGATCTTTTGTTATCATTCGGGATCAGTTAAACTCATTTAAGCTCACTTGCTGAGATGTTTCCGTATCCACCTCCTGCTTGGCGAGAGTGTAGTTGGGTGCTGTCAGATTGTTTCTCTCAGTGGGGAGACGCAAGCCATGATGTACCCGAATAGTGGGGAGTGGATTAGAGTTCTTTTCCGCGTAGGCCAGTAGTTGCTCCTTGTGTGGTGGGGCGAACAGAAGCCCATCACTAATGGATTCAATGGCGAGTTTCATATCACCCTCTTCAATAGTCGTATGTCCAGTGTGATTCGCTACTGCCCTAGATTCCTCCACAACGTCACAAGTGTGCCCTGAACACAAAAGGTGACACTAAGAACGTAACCCACTATACAGTACATCCAACACACGTGTACATATCTCGTCCGAGACGTCGCACACATTGAATTCATCGAAAATTTCACGAATGGTTCCAAGTGATGGAGGGACTAATTCGGACGGTTCGGCACTAGGTTTTACATCACCCATGCTCAGACTCAACAAATGAAATATGTCCACCACATCTGGATAAAATGCAAATAAGAAACAGAACAAGAATTGAAGTGGTGAAAAACATGCATTTCAATAAAATGGACAATACACGTTGACCACCACCGCTTCATATCCAAAACGACTGACTCCTTTAGTGATTGCACAGGCTCATAAGGTTTTGATGGAGTAAGCAAAAGTAAGCTTGCTCGTCGGTTGTGCATCCTATGTAGTGGTTGTTGGGTTAACCTGTGCGGTTACGTTTGACGATTTAAGGGAAAATGGAATGCCTACGGCTGCTTGTGACCGAACTGATCTTGAAATTTGATCGATCACATTACGTTTATTTATTCATTATTTTTGTCGTCGGGTATGCGGGATATGTTTGTTCATATTCACATCATTCTCGTTTGAACAGTCGTCCTCCTGTCCTGGCGTAATTAATCCGGTGAGTCCATATCAAAGGGAGGAAGTACTGGACTCGAGTTTCGCTCTTATCAGAGTTCATCAGCAGCGCATATCCAACGGCCGTGCCGGTGTTTGAACTCCGGACACCTGACATGCGATGCGAGTGTTACCACTACTCCATCAGCGCATTTCGGACGCATCTGAATTCTATTTTATGGTTTACAGTTGCGATACAGAGCCACGATTCCAACAAGCATAATTTGGAACAAACTATTGAGACGACCGACAGCTTACGGCAACCGCGCGTCACTGGCATATTGTTCAGGGGAGCATCACAGGTGGAAATCACACTCAGTCATGAATGCTACCGACTGTCAAAAAGTGCCTTTCTAAAAACTAAGACAACCGACAAAATTCTCGGTTGTTTCACCTGGATTGGTCCGGGCTACATTTGACCAATGGAAGCTAGAGGTCAGGCATCTACCAGCTCCACATATTTCTCGTCAAATTATTTAATCCTTTAAGGTCACCATTAGCCAATTTGAACGTTATAATGATTTTCACAGAAGGCTTGAATGAAAGGCGAAGTACACAAGCTGCATTGTGTGTGGTGGTGCTCAATTCGTAACTCAAATTTATATCTGAAAAATCAGTTCCGATACAGAGCGGAGTGAAATCCTTACGAAAACCACTAAGCCTCGCCACGTAGCTTCACTGCGATATTGGTAATGAATTCCCAGGCAAGGACGCAGGTAATAAAGCAACACCAGCATGCTTATCACCGTAACCACACCTTGAAACTGCCACACGCCACAGGTAGGGACGACTAACAAGCTTGGCTTTCCTTAAATCAGAGAATGCATCGCATCATCATCATTGACGGGAATACACCAGTAAAATACAATAGTACTCAACTTCCACATACCCATGAGGGGAAAAGCCTAAGTAAAGAGAGATAGAAAGGAGGATAGAAATTAAAGCACAGGTTTGGTGTGAAGAAGCCCTGGGTTCTTAACGAAAACGACCAACAACGAGGCACCTACACCTTGGAGGGTGTTCTCAATACTGTTCACCAGTCGCTTCTATCTAGATCTACTCAACGGTAGATACCCCAGATGTTTGTAGATTTATTGTGGCCGTAAGATGCGCAGTACCAGAAGTGTGAGTGGATGGGCAGCTGAAACCGTCCCTATAAAATGTATCCAGAAATGCTCATTCTTTCCACCTATACTCAAATTCATCATCGGTAAAATAATGAAGCGAACGCTGGAAGGTCTTCTGATCCCGTGATTAAGTCATTGTTGAGGAGAACTTTGCTGATTTGGAGCACGCAGATGACATCATGCTCGTCTTTGAAAAAGAAGGCCAGGCACAAACACTGTAGAATAAACGGATCACCGTCACGTCACCTTTCACATGCACCCCGCGAACCCAAAATGTAAAGTCATGATCTTGAACGTGTAGCTTCTGAACATACCCATTAAAAATCAAGGAGAATTTTTTAAGTCTGTGGAGGATTTTACATACCTCGGTAGTTGTACTAATTCTGATGGAAATATGTCTGATGAAGTCAGAGAATAGGGCCTCAAGGGTCCGAAGCACGTTTGTTAATTTGTCACTTGTCGCGTCAAAATGGATATGAATGAGTTTCAAGCGTCGCATGTACCCGACACATTGTAAGGGCTATATCGTTGTATGGTTGCGAGACGTTACCTCTGCAAACAGATTATATGACGAGTCTTCAAAGTTTTACCACCAATGCCTCATAAACGTTGCTGGTGTTGGATCGCGTCAATGAATTAGAATACAACTTAGAATTAGAATACAAAATTAGAATACAAATTAGAATACAAATATTTGGTTGGTCAGCGAAAACATCAAGCACTATCAATTACGGTGGCTTGGCCATGTGGTAAGCATGCCGAAACAAACCCTACCAAAACGAGAGCTGCTCTTCGTGCATCTTTCGAAATGCCGGAACCCACAAGGTGGACAACGTACGACTTGGTAGAAGGATGTGAAAGAGAAAAAGAATAGTTCGGGTGTAGCTGGTGTAGTATGCCTTCCAGGACGGGGTCCCCGTGACCCCTCTTGCGCTTGGCTGGAGACATTGCAATGAACGGCGGCTGATCAACGTCAGTGGCGCCCGTGTTATAAGTTTCTTTTCAGAGCGTCTGACTGAGTGCTTGGAGATGTAGGCACCTCGCAATGGTTGCGATAGGCCAGCACCAGGTCCCCTCCCTCACCGACTCTTTCCTCCTCTTCTCATCCTAAGACCTTAAATATAGTTAGATAAACTTTGTTGCTGTGTAGCAGTGAATCAACAACATTGAATTTGCTGTATCTGATGATGATTATGACGGTGATGATGGTGATGAGTCAAGTTGACGCATCTGTGATTACTCCACTCATTGCTAATCCCCGCTTTGAAGATGGGTACTATTATCGGTCCACTCCAGCTGTCTGAGACAGTTCGTTTTAAATAAATCCAAAATGGTTCGACAGGCACTGGCAGGGGAATTCAGCTCAGTCCCCTAACAGAGCGGCTGGAAGGTCATCAGAATCAGTGTCAGCACTGATGTTGCGTCCTCTGATGATGATGCCAGTATGAGCCGATCTACTAGTAGCATGAGCCCGTCTAGTTTGCGGACAATGCTCGTGAAACTGGTTAACATCATTCTGGTGCACTTTGCGGCTGAAATACAAGCGGCCGATTAAGCATCCTGTAACTCATGACTACCTGAGAATTTCTGACGTTAGTTCCACTGTCATGGGAATTTCTCGAGATTTAAACGCCTTTATCACCTCTCTATCCGCTAGATCAGGTCACGTACTGTGCTGAGTGGAGGCGACCGAGCGGTGGACAGTGTATGACCTCCCACTGCCTGGATAAGGACCCCAGGACTCAAGTCACTAGTGGTTAATGACGTCGGCGGAAATGGCCCGGTCATTGGCAGTCATTGGCGCTCGTGCATTGAGGCTATCGCTTTCAATGCGTAGCTACCCAATTTCTGAACAAACAAAACATGCCTTCTACTCCAAGCTTGGTTATATGTTCCAAGTTCCCGTTTTCCGATGATCGAAACCGTAGTAGCCGGAACAAATGTCTATGGCACCCGGCTTATAGCTGATAAATGGAATTGAATTGTACAGTTATCCCTTCGAATGACAACCGCCTCGGTAGGCGTCCTGGGTCTTCAGAACAGGGACTGCTACTCTTATGGTCCGGTGTTAAGTTCCGTCCTCCCCCGGACTAATGCTCTGAGTGTCACATCTTGCTCACCGGGATTGAGTCTTATTTGTTAATTTGCGGGAAGGTGTAAATCATCCCAGAAGAAGTACGGTTTACTTGATTCAGGGGATTCCGTGGGCAAGAGGCAATGTTTCCGGGGTGCTACTGCCTTTAGCCTGGATTTTTCACTTGTGGTCACGGCATTTGTGTAAGGTTGCAGGTCACGCCTTTAATCGCTCTGGCTGCTGCCACTGTGTATCAGCATGACTGCGTGTGCGTAAAAACCTGACTCTTGAGTCCTCTGAAAGCCTGACATTCCCCTTCTATTTTTTTCCGTGTAGCCATTGTCTTCATGAACCTGTGATTCCATCTGCGGTACGAATCTGAATCAAGTTGTTCCATCTTGAAGTCTTTCAAAACCTGTCCTCGTCCTTATTCATCCGATTAGTTACCAATCCAACCCCATTCTTTATCCCGAATTATCCCCTTAGGTGAGATCGCCCCAGGAATCCCATGGAACAAGTCTAACCTTCCGACAACTGTCTGCTTCCAGAATGTAGCCGCCAAGTAGCCAACGATTTCAACTGAATCGGCCTCACCGGATAGGACAATAAAAAAGTGTGCTGACCGTTCTGCAAGGCAAATTTCCGCGGTCACCAACCCGATATCAATGCAGGGTTTGCCTTATCCGCGCCCACGCACACGTACAGTCTACCTCTGTAACCCACACCCACCTATCTAAGCACATTCGATCGCGTCATCTGAAGAAGCTAAGTGGTCAAGACGTGCACGTACTGCCTGGGAGGATCGCGAGGGCATCTCGGGTGTTCATGCCTGAGCTTGGACAACCTGGTAATATCTCAACCCTCAAGCTAGCTTTGGGTGGCATGACAGCTAGGCACTGGAATGGTGCTATCCATGAACGATTGTCAGCAGTAAATTACTCTCCAGCGACTCCCACGGCAAACACCTCGGCCTGGTCAAATGCCGGCATATTCAACCGTCTTCCCTGTGTTGGTTTGTGCCTTCATCAAATGCACCAAATCCACCCTGGCCACCTGAACAGGTCCGTTCCAAGATGTCACTTCCCTACTACGCCTGATCCTACAGTGCACCCAGGAGAGTAAGGTCGCCTCCAGAGACGTAGTTGATGGCATTGAAGCCCATTGAGTGGCCACGCGCGCACCACCCTGTCCGCTTCACAAGCCGTGTGGAAGGTCGGGAACCCCTGAAGTACTGCAATGAAAAGGCTGAAGTGGCCGATGATGCTTTAGTTACAGCCTTCCCCTCAGAACATAAAACCCATGGTAGATAGCTATTAAACTTATCACCTTGCTTCTGGCATTAAATCCGGCGCTTAGAGTCGCAAGTGTCTTCAGATTCTTTTGGGAAGGCTCTT